TTGTGGATTTGTGCACGTGCCCATTTCATAGATTAGTTTGCATAGTATATCCTTTCGTTCTTCTTAACTTGAGGTGAAGACTGTGTGGACTCTTCTCCTAAAATTACTTCTCCTATCTATTATCGATACTGCTTGTTTTGGTACTGGAGTTGACTGGCTATATACAGTCTGTTGTGCCCTAGCCACTCTACACCTTGGAGCGCTTCCATTTCAGCTTTCCACACATTCCTGTCTGTAGATGTTTCTTCTACAGTCTTTCTTGCACAAGATTGAGCTTCTAATATACTGTGATTTGGATTCTGAACCGACTGGTTGTCTCTATTGTTTTGGTTGTGCTCCTTCCACTTTCCGCTCCTGTATGCGACACCTATTTCCATACTGGGCACAGAGTATACCTGATACAGAAGTGGTGTGGTCTCTCACGTGTGTTCCTCTCCTAATGGGGATCAAACTTCATGAGTATTCTTTGGATGCTTTTGAAGGATACTTTTTTTCTATCCTTCAAACTGGTCCCTCTGCCTGTTCAAAATGGGATTCTAGCTATACATGTGAGAAGAAGTAATGTACTGTATTAGAAGTTATTATTTTCCTCTACTGAAAAATGTATTTCCGATAGGTACTTGCCTCTCTTCCTTCCCACTGAAAACTGGTGCTTTCCTTTTCTACCTAATCTTGAAGTGATAATTTGGTAGAACCGAAGAAAGGGAGTCACATGCATCAGGAGGGTGTGTCACATTCCTATTGGTGGAGGGTTGTCTCGTGATGATTTACATACAAGATGCAGTTGAACCACATTGATCGTGAGGTACATGAGAGTTCAAGGCATGTATCGTGTGAAACATTTTTGCATATATAGAGGGTAGCAATGAACGAGAGTAGCTATAAATGTGAGAGGAGGTAAATACCTATCAGAAATATATTTTCAGTATAGGAATATTGTGGCTTCAGCACTTGTATGTGGATCTTGTACTTTTTTTTGCAGTCAAACTCTTGATAAAAGTTAACCTTAATTTTTGGAAGGGTGATTGTTAATACTTTATTCAAATATTCGATTGAGAAGACTAAATAATAATAATACAAAGATTACAATATTCTATAACTACTCTAATTTAACTGGTTGTCTAACTAGATGGAAGACTTTTGAAACATTGTCCTCTCCACTTGTGCTTTTAGAACAGGCAGTTCCTGTCCATTCCAGTTACTTGTCATGAATATTCTGCCTAAACAATCTATCAAAGAATTTGGTAAGGATTGTTGACAGGTGATATCTCCAAAACAGGTAGAATATCACCAAAAACAATTAAGGAAAACCCGTATAAAGCAAAATATGTATAGCAATCTATAATTTCAGTAATTTGGAGATTACATTTAGATTTTTAAAAAATGAATTAAAAAAATGTTGAAATATAAAGTGTTTCATTGACAGTAGCTAATAATATGGCACAGGTAAGGGTTTCCAAGAATAAGGTGCTATTTGTTATCTAAGAATCTTTGTAGGAACAAACTTATACCAGTAAATAAGTAATTGCATCATGTTTATCTAATATCCTATAATGAATACATAATAATCTATAATGTATTGGATATCTGAGTAATGTATTGGGAAAATTTACTTTTATCAACTAACAAACAAGATGTTAGGGTCAGGAATGAATAAAAACTGAAAGTAAAGATGTGCATGCACAGGTTGACAGAATTGGATTGATATTTTTTGTGTTGTTTTGAAACTTGAGATTTCAGTTACTATGAAAATTGAGTAGAGCTAATATGTTCAAGTATTGGTAATGTGTTAATGTATTTCATTGTGTTTAAATCCAAGGACTACATCAAAATGAATATAATGCGAGTACTTTTAGTAAAAGTTGTACTTGGTAGCGGATTTTATTGAATGTTATAAGCAACATTACGTAAGAACAGAATGAAAAACTTGACACTTGAGTGGTGTAATACTTTAATGCAATTTCACTGTTGTTGACTTACAGGTTTGTGAACAGTAACATCTGCATCTGTGCTAGTTACTGTAGTCTTCATGAGCATGATACTGTATGATTCTAATCTAACTATAAACATGGATGTTTTATCAGCAGGTCTGATTCTGAGTATGAAATGTCCTGTATGTTTAATTATAAGTTACTGGTTAGTTATTTATAATTATAATCTACAATCGCACAAACGAACAAAACTTGACTAAATCTGAAACTATTTCTGTAACATGATCAATCAATAAATATATGGGCACAATAATTCAATAATACAGATATCGATGAACTTGATATGCATAGTTTCAAAGCACATGCAACAATAATGCAATGTGTTCAGTGGAAGGGCTATTTTACAGGGATAGGGTGAGAAGTGATGTTGTAAACACAATTATCCAAGTGATTGATAAGATTAAGCCTCCAATTTATTTTCCTTTGGTGCTGTATTCTTAACAGAGCTGGGCAATTAGTGATATTAGTTGAGTGATTAATCAGTGAGGACT